TAGCACCTTGCCTCTCAGCGCCAGCAGCAGTCCACGAGCGTCCACTCCAGCAGCGCTGCCGCCAGCATGCAAGTGATGAATGAGGCTCCAGGCAGCGAGCTCTTTCCTATATGGAAAGAGCCTGCCTGTCTTCGCAGCCTGGCTGGCCTGGGTCTGGGCCCAGAAGCTTCCGGTGGGCCCCAGGATGCTGCGCCTCTGTTGCAGCTACTGGGCCTCATTCGGTTGGGCCTCCAACTGTTCAGGTATGAGGCTGCGAATCTCGCCCAGGGCCTGCTCTTTCGTAAAAGCCTAGATAGGCTGTGGAATTTCCTCGCTGCTCGGCCTGTGTTTTCCTTCAACCAACTGATGCGACGTAACTGCCTGGATCCCAAATACGAAATTGACAGCCAAGGGCCTCTCGCGATTTATCAGGCCCGCCTTCACTTAGGGCGGGCGCAGATGCAACAGGGGCCCCTTAGGCCGGCTGAGGACCCAGATCCTCGCAATTTGAAGCTGCAGGAAGTAATAAACATGGGAATTTGATGTAGGATATGAATATTGAAAGCAGGTTTTGGCTGAGAACTTGTGAGAAGCTGGACCACCAGCCGGGGCCGCCAGGGTCACTTTGTTTGACTGGGCAGCCCAGCCGTGCGAGGACCAGGGAAGGGCCCAGCAAAAAATAAAAATATAAAAAAATCAGAAAAAGAAGTATGTGATTGCACAAAAATAAATTGAACAACTTTTGCCTCAGCGGCACATCAGAATTTTTCTTTACCAAATTTAAAATAAAAAACGATTTTTATCATTTTTTTTTTTTTTTTTTTTTTTGGTAATGAACCCATCCAGGAGAGAAACTCATAAAGTGTCGAAATACAAGAAGTCTCAGCGCTGATAAATGTCTCCAGTAATCATGAAATGTGATCTCTAATACAATGTCTTGTAACCGTAGGACGAAGTAGATAGGAGGGAGAATAGACTTAAGAGGGTGGAAGAGAGTATCCATCAATGTCTCTGTAGATAGTACTCCCTCAATCCCCACTTCTGCTTCGGGCGTCTCCCCACATCCACGCCAGCAAACAGTGTCCCAGAAGCGGGTCTGACGAGATCTGATCACAACATAGTGCCACGTAGGCACAGATCTCCCATGAAGACGTCTCTGCAGCACGCAATGTCGGCAGCATCAACAGGTAAGTCCCCCCCCTCTCTCACTCGATCAATCCCACAGTTCCTGATCTCCCCTCCTTGTCGCATCCCCAATCTGCGTTTAAGACAGTGTGGCATGCGCCACATCAGCAATGCCAAAGACGGCGTGGCAAGTGCCACGCCAGCATCCAAGAAGATAGCTGGCGCCAGAAGCAGAGAGGCGCCAGCACGCAAAGCAGCAGTCTCGCGTCGTTGTTGCACAATGCCAGCGTCGTGCCAGCGTCTTGCCAGCGTCGTGCCAGCGTCAAGCAGCAAAAGCAAGACTGAATGTTGACCTCCAGTGGCTGGGTCAATAAATAATCTTGACGCCGTTGACCAGCCTCTGGTCTCTCACGTACGGAGGCGCAGATTGACTCACAGCCGACGGCTTGGATCCTGTACAGTTGCAGACTTCCACTTGGACCAAATGCTGCCTGGATGCCTGCATACAACCAAGTGTGTGTGTCTGATCTTTGGCCTGGACTGGGTTCGTGAAGACTTTGACTCGTGAGCCTCGATATTCTGATTTACAGTTGACTTTGGTCAACTGTCGGGCGCAGGGACTCTGAAGCCTCGTTTTCAGGGGCTCTGTTTCCTTCAGCCGGACGCAGGGCCTTGAGGCCGTTTTGTGGCCTGCGGATGCCCCCGCCCCTTGGCTGACGACATAGGCATATCGGAGCGGGTTATTTATAATTTTTTTGGACACGGCCGGGTAAGTTGCCTCAGGCCACTCTGGTACCCCAGGTGAGAAGCATATTCGTCTCATTTTTTTTTTTTTTTCACATTTTCTTTCCCAAGCCTGAAGATCTGATGGCTGGGTTCCAGAGCCGTATTCTGTGCACTTGCTGTGCTTTCCCTTTGTACTGCAGTACAGAATGGTCGATGAAGATATGAAAGACTGAAATCACATAGCATGCCGGAGATTGTAACACGGCACGCCGTAAGTCGTTTCTCCACTTTAGGAAGCCATTGTCTGACGCGTAAGCGCCTGAACGTCAGTCGCCCTGCTCCAAGCCATGTTGTTCATACGTATTTACCTAAATGTGGGCTTGGCTGTTGGTGACCGCCAGGATAGGAACTGACTGAGTGTCTGATTGTGCAAAGAATGAGTATCGTAGGGCTAACAACGGACGTGTGGGTGCGTGAATGTGCTTTTACGCATGTGCCAACTGCTCTTGTTTCGCTGATTTTAGAAATTAACAATTAACGAACAACGCTTGATCTCGCTCGCCCAGCACAATTGTAGTCCCCACTTGACTCTATCTGCCTGGTGTTGCAGTGAGCACGGACAAGTCTTCGCTGTCCTGTGAATGTTTTTGGTGTAGTGCAGATAACCATCATCTTTTATAGCCCATTTTACTGCCCGATACGACTCTATTAAAAGAATCCCACCGTGCTTGTTTGGCACTTGGCACATGCATAATGTGGCGTGGAAACGCTGTAGAAAGAGGCGGCAGCAATGAAGAGGATGGATAGAAAGTGGTTTGTTGCTGCTCGCACTCTCAATTCATTCATGCTACATGAATCAAGTGGCAGAATGACCACCTGTGTACGAAGCAGGCCAATAAACCAACGGCGTCATGGACAAGCACAAAGACAGGCCTTCCCATGAATCAGCCTTCTGGTTAAACCACCGATACCCTACGTTGCCGGCAACTTTTCACAGCCTCCATGTTTTCAGGACGCTCTGTGAAGACTGCACAGTTTCCCCTGCTAGAATAGTTTGGGTGTCCCCTTCCTGGTTTGCAGACAAGTTCCTGTGGGTACTGCTGGTTTTACCTGCCCTGCTGAGAGAACAAGCTTGTTGGGTGGATCGTGAATTGGCCATCCAGCTCACCTGTCAGCCTGTTCATGCTTCTTGCATTTAGGCATGTTCAGGTGTCATCTAGCTATTGGAGAGAGAGAGAGAGAGAGAGAGAGAGAGAGAGAGAGAGAGAGAGAGAGAGAGAGAGAGAGAGAGAGAGAGAGAGAGTTACTCCGTCAGGGTGTGTGTGTGGCATTGTGGACGGGGCATCCCACGTCTAGTTGTTGTCAATGCGGGAATATTTCCTGCTTAGGGTCTATGTGTGACATTGTGGACTGAACTGGCCAGCCCTTCAACAGAAGAATTGATTAGTATCGGCATTGCTATGTGCAAGAAATGACAGGGAACACTTCTTCCGCTTGCAAACTCGTCTTCTAGCGGTGATCTTTTATGACATCACACTGCGAAGGAATGATGGAATGACAGCAGCACCAACACAGTGATGATGAAATGACAACATCTTGGATCAGCCGGATGGGCTCGTGGAGAGCATTGCACTGCGAGACGAGCTGTTCCACTGGAGTCTGGTTATTCTGTACGGTTTCTGAGCTGTGGGAGATGGCAGTTCGCTAGGGTCACACCTGTCTGACCCCTGCAATTGAATTCCTGAGGATGCTGAATGAAGGATCAACTTTGAAAGAACACAGCGTGGGTTGATGGACAGTGAGCAGGCAGTAATGATATGTTTCCAAGCCAGACTGGACAACAGATTTGTCGCCGACTGCTGCCAAGTCAATGTCATGCTGCAATTTTTGGCTGTAGAAAATGATATTCATGGTTCATGGAGTGTTGAGGCAGATGCTGCAGAGTCAATCCAATGCTGTAATGTTGCCGCAGAGAATGATGGTTATGGTACTTGGAGTAATTTTATGAGGCAGATGCCACAGAACTCAAGGACAGTTAAGTCAGGGGTCAGCTTGTCGACCTTTTGGTCGATGTTTAGGACCTCCCTCTCAGAGGCTGTCCTGTGATGTGTGTCCACTCATTCGTATTTATGTTTAACTTCCTGTGGATGGTAACCTTAGCAGCCTCTTCGTATTCGTATGTTGATTTCCTGTGGGTGATATTTCGAGTAGTGTCTTGGATGATCAGCAAGCAGATTGATATGGAAGCACGAATGCCGAGAAGGTGAAATGGGAAAGGTAGATGTACGTCGTGCGGTATAACGAGGCAGGTGGAAGTTGTGGGGTTCGGTGTTGGTTTCATAGTTCTCTTTGATTTCTTATTATCATTTTCTTTGGAGATATGCCCCTTCGCCCGTGCTTAATATGATTGTCTGTGGATGGTAAATCATGTTTAGGAGCTTTGTTTTGCTCTTAGCAAAGCTGTTACAATGCGCACGAATATGAGTGATGGGATTGATGAGAAGCAAATGTGGTTGGTTGGTGCGCGGGAGCCACTGGCAGACCAAATACAAGGCAAAGAGAACAAAGTGTGATTTTTCGGAAGACCACTGTCTCTTACCTTGACCATTTTGTTTTCTGCAGATGGATGGATGGATGTATGGATGGATGGATGGGATGCGGCTTGAACCGCAGAGGAGCGATGCCATTCACAACTAGCGGGCTCCCAAAAATGTAACATAAATTTAATCGATTCATTTTTGGGGGTCTGCTCTGCAGGATGCATTTGCTGGATCAGCGGCGCCAGCTTATCAAGAAATTTGCCTGTTGCAGTTGTATTTCCACTCTTGTGAATGAACCTGACAAATGGGAGAAGGAACCTTCTGATCGCCCTCCATTGCACTCGTTACTGCTGCCAAGCTGCCACTCGTAGATAAAGCCACTGCCAGAAAGGAGAGATCACCTGCTTGTACCTGCCATCCCTGAGTGGACAGACCGTGCGCATTCATGTGCGCATATGACGATGTCTCCGGATGCATCTGCCAGATTTCCTATTTCCGAGGCGGGTTTGTGCCGTATCAGCAGAATGACCACATCGCATCATTCAGACTCGTCAAGAAGCTTTCAAGTCCGGTAGCCTGCATTCATGTCTGCATGAAGGGATAAATCACCATGTACACAGCTGCACTGCACCGCAGGCCTGGCGAAGTTGCCCGTCACCAAGACAGTTCTGTATTCTAACTGTTGTTTCCTCAAATGGTTGAAAAATCAGGTCACAGTCAAAGTTAAGTGTGCACGTGGGGGGGAGACAGGATCCGTTAGATCATCGTCGGCATCAGTGGATCCTTCATCAGGCTATCGCGAGGTGCGGGTCCGGCATCAGGGTACATTGACAGGTGTGCGAGAGGTTTCTGCTGTAATCTATCGGAGGACCTTTTTCCCTGCCTCCACGTGGCTTGCTGTGGAATTCAGCTTTCTGTTACTCTGGCTCACTCTGGACGTGGGGGTGGTGGGGGGGGAAGGGCAGGGAAGGTTCGGGGGAGGATAGGCAGATGATGGCAGGGTACGGTCTGACTGGCGTGCCATCAACGAATGCTATTTATGTGTGCAATCTTCCCCCAGGGACGGATGAATTAGCACTTGCAGAGCACTTTGGAACAATTGGCTTGATTAAGAAGGATAAGAGGACGAACAGGCCAAGGATATGGCTGTACAGGGACAAAGCCACGAATGAGCCCAAGGGTGATGCAACAGTCACCTACGAGGATCCTCATGCTGCTGCGGCTGCAGTCGACTGGTTTGATCGCAAAGAGTTCCATGGCGCTATCATTTCTGTGTCGCTGGCAGAGAATAAGAAGCAGATAGCGGTTGGCGATGGCATGGGACTTGGGGTGATGGTGGCAGGAGATGCAGCTGCTCCTTCCTCTAACATGCAGGCAGAATTGGGAGGGGTTGGCTGTCATGGGAGGGGCCGTGGGGAGCCGCCTTCTGCAGGAGGGAAGCCTTGGCAGCAGGATGGGGACTGGTCCTGCCCCAATCCAAGCTGTGGTAACATAAACTTTGCCTTCAGAGGACAGTGCAATCGATGTGGAACCCAGAGGCCTGGGGGAAGTAGTGGAGGGGGTGCAGGACGAGGGCGGGGGCGAACTGGTCCAGGTACTGGTGGAGGGGGGCGTGAAGGCAGGGGTGTCGGGGGTCCCCCTGGCCTCTTTGGTCCAAATGACTGGCCTTGCCCAATGTGTGGCAACATTAACTGGGCAAAGAGGACAAAATGTAACATTTGCAACACGACAAAACCTGGCTTCAATGAAGGGGGGAGTCGGGAAGGGCGGGCTGGAGGGTACAAGGAGCTGGACGAAGCAGAGCTTGAAGAGACCAAAAGGCGACGGCGGGAGCATGAAGAGGACGATGGAGAAATGTATGATGATTTTGGTAACTTGAAGAAAAAGTTCCGTGCACGAGCCAAGGCCGGAGAAATGCCGCAGCAGACTAACTTTGAGGGTGGAAAAGCAGGCTGGGAGGAGGCCCTTAGGGCAAGTGATCGGGGAGACAAAAGCAGGGAGCGAGATAGAGAGTTCGATCGGGGCCGTGTGCTAGATAGGGATAGAGGTGGAGAAGGAGACAGAGAACGTTACGGAGAAAGAGATGACTACAGGGAATGGGACAAGGACAGAGACCGTGACAGGGACTGGGAACGGGATCGAGATAGGGGGAGGACTCGTGATGGCAGGGATGATCGCCATGGTGTGTGGAATGGGCACAGATCCTCATATCGCTCCAGATCACAGGAAGATGACTGGGGGCATGGGGAAAGAGAACGTATTAGAGAGAGGGAGCATTACAAAGCCGATGAGAGGAGCAAGCCATATGTTTGAGAGGGGGGGAGAGTGAGAGGCAGGAACAAGGAGAGAGAGGGAGAGAGCGAGAAAAAGAGAGAGGGAGAGAGAGAGAAAGAGAGAGGGAGAGAGGTAAAGGCATGGGAGGGCAAGAGGTTGTCTGACAAGGTGTATGAGTGAAGGCAGAATTCAGGCGCTGAGTGTATGCTTCCCTGGATGAGACAATGAGCATCACTTTGCTGTCAAAGAAGGAAGGAATGTTTATCCGACAAGTGAATAGAAAGGCCATGCCTGAGCGCTTTTTCGTTGACCATTTTGATCTTGGAATTGTTGACTGAAAAGGAAGAGCCATTTAGTCATTCGTGCTTCATCTTGTTTGGAATAGCTCTCACATGAATGCCGTTTTTGCCCGACTTCCGGTTGCTCCAGGTCCTCGTTGGAATGAGGATTACATTACATTATTTTTTTCATAGCTGACAGTCTTCAATGAAATGCTGATTGCTTGCTTTCCCACACCTCCCCACCACTGAATCCGTCATAGAGGGGTTTGCTTGGCGAGAGGATGGCTATGGGTTGCTGTGCTTGCTTGCTTGCTTGTTAGATCTTTGGTCCAGCTTACACTCAGGTCGAAACATACATTGTACACACATGATTTGTGCATATGGGACTGGCCTTGGCCTCCTAGAACTCCCTTTTTCTGTGTTCCCAGAGGCATTCTGCCTGACTGACATCACGTGGTTAGGACGCTTCTGACAATCCAGTCAGCGTCCTCATTGACTCGTCAACCCTTTCCATCATTATGGACGAGCTGTATTCTCGTGCCCTGTGTACTTACTACTTAGACCATTGACGTCAATCCCATCGCTGACCATATCTGATTCCCACCGTGAGCGGCAGGTTGCTGATCAGTAACTCTCTGCCTTCAGACTCCGCCTGAACTTCAGTTGTTTGTACATAGAAGTCTATGCAAGTTCTGTGCAAGTTTGTGTCTAGTCGACAATCGTTCTGCATAGCCAACGCTTTGGCGGGATTGCTAGTGAAACAGATTCACACTGACCCTTTTCAAAATCAGGCCAGCGTGCTATTACCTACATCAGTTTATGAACGGTTGCGCGGCTCTCAATTGCGACTGACAAGCCATGATGGCCAGAACCGTTAGAAAAGGTTGTGCATGGTGCACATGTGAAAACAAACAGATGGTAGGCATTAGACCTCTCAAAGTTCTTGTTTAGTCTGGGACACAGACGCCCAACTTTCCTAAATTAGCTCAGATGTAGATTATCCGATCCGAAATCCAGACTAACCAGTCAGTCACTTCTCTTGTCTATTGTTTCTGTGCCGTATCTTTATGTCTTCTCTGCTCTGTTTGTTATATCTGCATAGGTGTGGCGATCTTTGTGAATAGTGGTGCCAGCCTATGCCAATGTCCGATAGAAAATACCTCCCACATAGTCAATGGGACAGATTCAGTAAGGGAATTTTCTATTCCCGGGACTGATGTAGGAGGTATTCGCTATTGGACATTGACATAGCTTGGCAGGACTGGTCACAAAGGTCTCCATATTTCTTCACTTGTATGGTTTTTGAGCATACTTGCAAGCGGACGCCGTCCGGGGGGTTCCGCACGTGAGGCAGACCGCCGGACCGGACCCGTGCGGCGCACGAATGTGCGCCCGTCGACCAGTTTCGCCCCCCCTTCCCCCCCCAAAAAAAAGAAAAAAACCGCCCCCGTCCGGTCCGGTCCAGGTCCGTCCGGTCCGGGGGGAGGGTGCCGCACGCGGCAAAGCGGACCAGACCGGACGCTCGTCCGGTCCGTCTGCTTGCAAGTATGTTTTTGAGGTATTCCCAAGATTTTCCTGTTATTACTGAGATATTGCTGAGCCCGTATAGGTAGTGCAATAAAGAAGAATCTGTTTTTTGCCACTAAATCTGCATCTGCACTCTCAGGAATCACCATGCATAGCAAGTCATGAACCATTTGACGCTTGAACCGTTTCTCAGTGTTCTTAGATCCCTTAGCTGGATAATGATGACCAGACATTCGCAGCACGTTACCTCTGACATTCATACGAGTGAAGAAATTTGGAGTGCAGAGGGAAACAGGAAAACGAGAACACAGCAAGTGCTGAGTGTAGTGTACTGGAGCTGAGCAAAGCTCAAAGGTGCTGCAAATTAAGTGGCGAGCGCAGTTCTGCTTCTGGAAAAGAGGGCATCCATTTGAACTCTGCAGGCGGCATTAACAAGGTTATCAGCGAGGAATCAAACGTACCATTTTCTTGTCTGGTCTGTTAATCTGTCTTACCCTGAGTTACAAACAAGTATCTATCTGCCATCCGTGGCGTATCTGTGTTGTCAGAGAACGAACTAGAGGCAGTGGAGCCCATTCCTCACAATGTGGAGGGTTCTGATTGCTAAGTAAAAATGGGAAATATGCCAGTCTCTGTTCAGAGTCAATCGTTCTGATGCGTGCCATTCCTGTTTTCTTCACTAAGCCTTGTTGCTATAGGTTTTCTCGAACTTTCTTTAGTGTTTTTGGCTTGTTTCGTGCATGCCTGGGAGAGCTGTTGTATCTCTGCGTCTCTGAATCCTGGCACTCTTTTCCTCTTTCTTTTTTTATCTCCTCAACATTGAAGCATACTTTTGCCTGTGCCTTCCTCCCTCTTTTCCCTCCCTTCCCCCCCCCCTCCCCTCTCCCTTCCTCCCTCTTTTACTTGCCTTTCTTTTCTCTTCTTCTATTTTGTTATGTGTGACGCGAGGTCAGCTTACACGAAGTCAAACGTGGGCTGTCTTATGGCTTCCCAGCATTTCAGGCATTTCCCCTTTTCACAGTCAATGGCTTCTTGGCTCCCATCGCGGGATGAGAGCATGCGATTCTGATGTGAAGATGCAATGGGCAGAGCTCTCTGACATTGTTCTGCAGGGAATCTGGGTCTGTATTGCTTTCTTGGCAAAGTTCCGAGCAGCTGCTCTTCTTTTTGTTAGGTCAATCTGTTGCCCTTCCCCAAGCCGTTGACTGTTCTCTTAGACAATTTATGACCACTTGTGCAGGGAACACAGAGCGCATGGATGTTGTATTTGTTGTGTTCGTCAAATAGAACTCCACGGGAAATAAGCAAAATTCTGACAGAGTTTGCAGGGTTCATGACTCACAAGAGTGACCTATTGCAGCTTCGCTCGTAAAAACATTTATGACCGGTAATACATTCACTGCGGAGGCAACTGACCGATGCTCTCTCTCTCTCTCTCTCTCTCTCTCTCTCTCTCTCTCTCTCTCTCTCTCTCTCTCTCTCTCTCTCTCTCTCTCTCTCC